ACTTCATCTTGTTTTTTAAATTTTTTATGTTCTTGTTTGTGTTGATTTTTTTATAATATTTCGTAAATTCGTTGGAATCCTACTTCATCTTGTTTCTTTTTAATTTTTTTATGTTCTTGTTTGTGTTGATTTTAAAAATAATATTTATAGTGTTGCAATTGTGATACTTGTTGATTTTACACAAACAATAATTTTCTTTATTATTATTATCACCGTCTGTTATAACATTTATGAGAGACAGCATTGAATAGACATGCCGAAGGAATATCAAGTATCCTGATGACAAACGAAACTAATACTAGTCTTGACACAAGTCCTTGTTCAAGAATCTGTGAGCTAAGAGTGTCTGCTGGCTGTTGTCAAGTTCATAATTATCATTGCATATCATAAGTCATAACATTAATTAATTGTTTGTTTTTTAAACTAAAATAAAATAACACACTTGATAAAACAGTAACATGTAAAATCAATACCTTCTTTTAGCTGGAAACCACCACTAAAGTATTGCAGTAAGTTGATTCCAAGCATAGCTTGGTAAAAAATAACTTGCTTCTTCCAGAGCTGCAGATCTGAGCATGCGCGACCACACCCAAATTTTGGAGCACATGGCAAGCTTATTTAATTAACAAAATGGCGGCATGTAGCTAAGATGGCTCGATCCAACAGTCACAGTATCACTTTTTCCTTACTTGAAGAATGATCTGATGGGACATGGACCTGCGCATAGACTGTTGGAGTAAATTGGTGTAAGAATTATCCTTGTAGCACCAACCAATACTGAGATACACACCGACAACTGGATTGACAGGACTTGATGAAGATGATGATGATGATGAAGATGAAAAAAGGTGGCTGAACAAAACGGCCTATTCGCCGATTTTTGACTTTTCGCTTAGACAAGGTCTAGAGCCACGCTAGTGGTACCATTAGACTCCTCTGATCAAGATGAGGTCCTCTAAGAAGTCTGGTAAGCATAGGAGCTCGTTGTCCTGGTATAGCAAGGCTGCAAAAGTCGTGGCAGCCATTTTGTTTGGGGGTGAATCCTACTTAGTAACGCTACCGCGTTACTAATAGTACAGGGATTTTAG